ACACACACACACACACACACACACACACACACACACACACACACACAGCTTTTAGCAGTTTGTTTAAGGTTTGTTTAAGGTGCCTGTGTATGTATTTTGGAGACACCCACGCTGGTAACTATGGCTCCATAGCACTGGATGATGTACGGGCAGTCATGACTCTTCAGCACCACATCCAGGTCCATCAGGATCCTCTTGTTCTCATCCTTGTTTCCTGTGCGACGCATTTGCTGGTGACACACACACACACACACATACAGAGAAACAAGCCATTAGAAAAGACTCCTCTGGTGCGCTGACTGACTGCCTGGTTGTTAAACAGCTCGGGCAGCTACAATTAAGTCATCTCTTAAATAGGAGGGTTGTTATGTGGGGTTATTACTGCCACTGTGTTGGTAAATTAGTCACAATTAGATCACAACACAAAATCAGAGCGCTGAGCCGGGGTTAGCATCGAGCTCCTGCTGTATTCTGATCTTGTTGACTGAAGTCTTTGTGGTCCCTGTGGGGAAATTCTGTCTTGTATTTTGAAACTAAGCCTGAAGAAAACACCGCCCGCATATTACACTGTGATCCTACATATCATCGACTTTACAGAGTGAAGCATAAATAACTACAATAATTACACAATGTTCATATTAAAGAGAGTTATGGCATTTAAAATATATATTCTATTTTTTTTTAATGTATTTCATATTCCTCGTTCATTCCTCATTTTCTTTAACAACTGTCCATGTCTAGATTTTTCCCCATGTGGATCCGATAAACAATAAACTTATGACATTTTGGTCCCATTAAATTTTAAAGTAGGGGGTTGGATTTCCCCGGAAAAAATGTGCATTTGTTCTGTTTGCCTCTTATCAACCTATCAAAAGTTAGTATGTATTTTTAGCGCAAAGGATGTGCTGCGTGATTAGTGAACGGTTGGGTGCATATAGTTCCTACTTTGACAGCGATGACATGGCCGGTCTTCTTGAATCGCACTTTGAAGACCTGTCCACAGGTCCCGCTGCCGATCTCCCCCTCGCTGATCAGGTCCGTCACCTCCGCTGGATACCGCTGTGGACAAAACAAGACTTTGGATCAAACTCAAGATATTGTTTCTGTGCAAACACTCCGAGCTGAAAATAGATGAGAGAGGCAAGTTCAGATCTTCTGCTTCGCGAGGCAACAGTAAACCCCTCTGGGTCATTCAGTAACAAATGTTTTGATGTGCAATTAAGCCCCCCCCCTCCCCGCGACTGAGATGCTGTGAGTGGTGCCTCATCGAGTGCTTGATGTAGCAACCCCTCTGGGCTAATGAGAGGAAGTAAAAACAAACAGCGACGACGAGTCAAATCGTTTTCTCCAGCTTCCTTTAAACCCTGACTGGCTTTGACTCTGACCGAAAATATAAATCTTTCAACACAACTCATGAGTATAAAAGTCAAAGTAATCTCCTAAAGGAACTGGGCACTGTAGTTTCTAGCAAACAGGTGTAGCACGTACATTTGTCGGGGACTATTTTCAGCTGTGGATTAATACACACTTAAATCTGTTGGGAGTATTTACAGCAACAGGACGGAGTATGTGGGACTGATACAAAATAAACTACAGTGCCCATGTTCATCGTAATGAAGGAACATGTCCCCCTGTGCAACAGTGCAGCACAACAGAGATAAATGGCACAGAGGAAAAAGATTGACCACTCAATCAAATATCACCTGCCTCATGACCTCTCATGTAATGCATCACATATAGGGCATTGACATTTCCACACGAGAGAAAGTCAACATGTCATCATCACGCGTCACATCTCACCTGACCGTCGATCTTCAGGTAACCCGTCTGTTTCATGATCTCCTGCAGTTTTTGGTCGATCTCTGCACTGTGGGGACGAAACACACGATAACACACAACGTGAGGCAGCGGAAACGAGACGTGAAGTATGTTTCAGTGTGAAACGTCCATAGCAAGATGAGGCTTCTGACTCAAATGGATGCTGTGTCACACATGATGGATCCACATGCAGAGTGTGTGTGTTTCTGTACACCTCTTACTTATACCACATAAACACAATAAGAACCGTAAATACAGTTCCTCAGATGAACATCAGCATGTGTCCACATACTTCTCTAAGCTCTTCTGCAGGCCGTACGGAGGCGTGGGCAGGGTGAGCATGTGTCGCGGGCGGCTGGGGTAGGGATGGTGCTGAGGAGAGCTCTCTGAAGACGATGATCGGCTGCCCCCATCGTTGGCCAGTGGCAGCTGGAGGGCTGGGGGGGGGGGGGGAAGGACATGACACATTAGAAACAGAGAAGAGAACAGAACGAATGGCACATTACGTTTTTCGCCCGAGGCCAGCATGCCAGAAGGTGCAAGATGATGTGTAATCATGCATTCACTGACTCCACCATTTTATTGGTTTAAAGCTGTTGTGCACCAAAAGGTGATCATGTGTTATTACTTGTGCTTTATCACCTTTTTTTTTTTAAACACATCTCAATGTTCTATTGACGTATAACATATATATATATATATATATA